TTGCTCTCTCCAGCTCTCTCTCTCCCCCGTAGTTCACGGGCAAGATTTTGCAGTGGATTGATAACTTTCGTACCGGTCGATCTTAAACCCCATGCCACGGAGATCAGCAATAAGTGGAGGTTGCGGTTAAAAGTTGAGTTCCCCAGGGCTCCGTTATGGTTCTATCCTCTTTCTTAGATATATTGAAGGCCGCAAAAGCGGATCGGGTTGCGGAATCGTTATGTTTGCAAATGACTTAAAGATTTGGAAGGTCACCGGCAGCGGAGATGACGAAGCAACTCTACAGGCAAATTTCAATCGATTCAAGCAATGACCGAACCGTTAGCTCCTGCTTATAAATGTTACTAAATGCAACATTGTGCGTTATGGCAGAACCAACACTGCGCAGCAGAGGGTAAATTACCTAAATAACCGGTTGCTGCCAGGGATAGAGGCACAAAGGGATCTGAACTTGTTGACCTTGCTTTCATGCAAGCAATAAATCCACGGTTTCAAGGCGGCCAAATCCGTGGTGTCCAGCTTTTATCCCATCAAACGCATTTGCTAATTTCGATGAAGTGTGCTTTGGTAAGATTTTTTGGGATACTCGTGCGGCCACAATTAGAATTTGCCATACATATCTTGAGACAATGGACAGTAAAGACCGAAAAACCCTTGGAAGAGTACAATGATAAACAATCAAAACAATACGAGGGTAAAGGTATCTGTCGTACGATACGGTGTTACGATGGGAACGGTAGCCCTTGCCGTTATATGATTTGTTCCAAAACAAGGAGCTTTTCCAACCAAATACTTCGCATCGAGAACAACGGTCGTATCTTACTAAATTGCAAAAATCCTATCACTAAGGCTATTACCGGCACCTGTTTCATTATTGGTGACAATGCTATTTACTGCGCTCTTACTAGGCAATTATTGACCTCGATACCAACAACAGTAACCGTCGCTGATATTGTGGCCGAAACCCACCATTGCCAAATTTTGACAATCTTTGTCCGTTTTGCAACTCCGACGATGGTATTCGCGCACTTTGGTAATTATCGTGGCGGATTCCTCTGTTTGCGCCAGGTTTTCGGTGAACTCTGCAGACCGCAAGGTCAAATCTTCAGCATTTCGTGACCTTTACTATCCTTTTACCGTTTCGACTCTGCTGTCCACGAGGAGCTCCTCCTGTCTCATTTCCCTGATGGTTAATCTTGTAGCCCGTCGGACTGTGTTACAACGGTGACCAGCAGCCTTTACTGCTATAGGATTTCTCCTACGACAAGAAGAATTTCGAATTCTCACATATTCTCATCAACAAGTAGTGTCCTATTTCACTGTATCCCAACAACCCTGTCAAACAGTCCTTGCATTTTTATAGAAGCAGTGTTTTCCTCCTACGTTCAGATATAATCCGCACGGCAAAAATGCAGTTACCGAAAAAATTTCATCCCCGTTTAAAAAAATCTGCTTACGCAATTTGTTATCCAACAGTGGGCATATTTTCACACTTCTATTAGTCTGCTTTTGTTATCAATTGTAGATTTTGTCATCCAACTTGGTCCTCAGGCGTTTTTCAGTCACTTGGTGCAGACGGTTATCTCAAGCCTAGACGCCCATTTATGTTGTGTTCGCGCCGTTAGTGGTTATCCGGCCCCCCGTACATGGCTTATGTAAGCTAGTAGAAAACTAAAGCATATAATCCGTATCTCGAAATAATTATCAGGCAGATTTTATGTCTGCGAAAAGGTTGGCGCCAACCATTCATGGCAACTACAGTGAGGTCGATATCTCACCGTCAGTTTTTATTGTCGGAGCACGTTAAATGACTTGAAAGCTTAAGTATAGACTGTTTACTGAACTTTTAGATGCTTTAAGTTCGATTTTTTGTTTCGAAAATAACAAGGTTTCCATTTACAAAACTCAATTTATTACTCAATTAATTACATATCGGTTGTATATGATTGCAAAACCGATGCGCGCTGTGCCTATCCGCAGCGAAAATCAAACGTCAGCAGACGGAGGGGTTGGCAGTCATGCACCTCTCTACAGCTCGCCAGTAAATGCGNNNCCTAGCCTGTCCATCTTCGAAAAAACAATCACACCATCACTCTCAGGTGATTCCCGCAGTTCGTAAGCCCAGGCATTTTCTGCTTCACCTCGGTCTGCCTCATTTTTTCTCCACTAGGGAGACAGATGCGCCAGGGGGGGG